ATATTTATAGGAAAGGAAACTTAGAATTCCTGAAGAAATGCCTAAAGCTAGGACTACTTATGACTTCTAAACTATATTCAGCTTTTAATTATGCAGAACACTGTTTATAGATGTTTGCAATACACATTTTTTGAATGAGATCCCACAGATGAGATGTGCAAAGACATGTCTAAATTATAGGTTTTAATGAAACTCTGGCATGAGATGGATACTTAAACTGTACAGGACTGTAAAGATTGAAGTACGTAGTGCAAAAGGAAATTTACAGAATATGAACTTACCTGCTGCAAGGTGCTGTATATGGATTGTTCAGTAGCTAAACAGAGTTTTTACAGATCACACTGTTGAATGTAGAGGCTGAACAATACTTAGCTCCCCCTTTGGGAGCTATGTCACTAGTGTGTGATTTTCTGTGTACAATGTGAATGGTTGATATTACTCAAACTGTATCTACTAATGAGATGGGAGGGGAAAAAGAATGTTACATATTTAATTTAGTATTCTGCCTTGTACAGATACTGAGTTTTGTGGGTTTTTTCCTCAGTGTGTTTGGTTTTTTGTTTGTTTGTTTGTTTGTTTTTTTTCCTGGGTGGGGTTTTTCTGTGTGTTTTGCGATGTCAGCAAAGTTCAGTATCCTTAATCCAATAAATTACAAAGAAGAGGAGGAATAACACATTTTTTTTTGTATAAACTTTTAGATTTTATTCTCACAAACCTCTTTTTACTGCATTGCCTGCAGGAAAAAGAGATATAAGTGTGTAAAAGAGAGATAAGTAAAGACATACAGATATTTGCTTAAAGTTAGCCAGTATCTGAGTGCATACATAAGATGCTTATGTTACTGCTAGGTCATAAACTAAACTGATAGTGAGAATATGTATTTGCAGTACAAAGGAACAGAGAACAGTAGAGAATTTTACAAATATGAATTACGGAAATCTCTTGAGGAAAAGAAACCTAAGAACAAAGCACATTCATAAATCACAGTTAGCATCCATATAAAAATCAGAAAAAGCAGACAAAGAATTCCATTTACTCCAAAGTTATATATGCTGTATTTTTTTTAAATCTGGAAGCCAAGAAATTTGCTGAGAGCCTTCTGAGATATTTTGAGCATAAGCAAATTCTAGTGATATTGGTGAGAGTTGTGAGAGAGCAGAACCTTTATACAAGGTTCTCATCTTTAGATGAGACTGCTTTGTGAGCTATCTAGGGGATCAGCTAGCTGAGCTGCAAAAGCTTAACAGAAGACAGATTATACCTGAGTAGCCCATATACATACCAGTCTTTGTCTAGTCCAGTTTTATGGTATCTCACATTAAACAGTGATTTTGCAATCTGTTCTATGTCACTGGGTAGTCATACACAATGACAAGTTTAATTGCCAGATGGGTCTAACATTCCACATGAGTACAAGAGTACTCCTCTAAATCAGGAGTCAGTAACTTAATGAAATACCTTATTTCATTATGATCCAGTGTGCCATGCCTCAGGCTTGTTGTTGCTCTTCCTACTTGTAAAATAGTCCTTACTATTTGAGTGACTGGAGGTATGAACTGTGCAAAATAAGCTATTCATTCCTGTTTCCTCTCTGTGTTTTGCTAAAGTGTCATGATGTCATTGTAGGTAATCTTTATCAAAAGTTAAATCTAAATATAGAAGACAAATTTCTGTAGCTGCTGTTCAGAACTCAACCGTAATAAGGAACAATATGGTTTTCTCTCACCACTCCCTCCTCTTGGTTTAGCAGTGAATTTCAATGAAAAATATAAGTTGTGGTTCTGGGGCAGCAAGTCTTGACTACAGTCAGCTACCACACTGAGAAACATCTTTATTACACATCTGAAATAAATTTGGACTTAGAATTCCATATCCTGGGTAGTGGTATACAAGAAAATATCCTCAGACCCTGGCTTGCTGGAGGGGTACATGAGAGTGTTAAAGATAGTGTAAAGAACTACTCAGGGACTTTCTTAATGACTTATATCAACTCTAAACCATTTTCTCAGCAGGTGAAGAGCATGACAAAAAACTGTGGCTTTACTGAGACAGTAAAATGCACTGGTCCTTCCTGAATATTGGAATGGGCTATTTTAGGCAATGAGAAGTTATTAATATCACTCCACTGATAGAAATGGACTCAAACTGTCCCCAAAGTGGGAGCATAATCCAGTTAGTGCACTCCCCAAGCTCTGAGGATACATACTGACTCCAGATCTTCCTGTCCTCATCTTGAGGTGAAATCACATTGAGGTAATCCTCCTCCTATAGCAATCTTCCTTCTATAGGAATGACTTTTAATAAGTATTATAAATAAAGTAACAACCAGCATTACACTTTTCCAAGTGCCTATTCAGATGATCACAATGATTTTACTACCTCTACATTCTAAATACGTTCAGTACTGAACATCATCCACAGACCATATGCTACATCTGTTCTGCCTACTATTAACTCCATCACTTCAGTACAATATCTCCTGATTCATGCTTGACTGTTCCAGAGCCACCTGATAACAGAATATTGCAAATTAAAAGGGCTAAGATTCACCTTAGCACTTACATTTTTAGGAACCACTTATTCTCCACAAAAGGTCAAACTATCTTGTAGTAAAGTGAAAAACAATCTACCTTATGACTTCTGCAGTTCAGTTCAAAGGAGGGCATACAAGTAGAATGGAATAGCAGCTTGAATGAAAGCAGTAACCCAGGCTCTGTCAGTCAGTCTGTTTATAGACTGGGATTATTATTACGATTAGCACAAGTGGACATGGATAATCCTCTTTCTGTTTCTGTGACACATCTGTAGATCATCCTCCATTTAAATCTGTCTGTTGCTTGCTGTGTTACTGGAAAATACATAAACAAACATCTGTGTTCCAGATAGGCACAGTCCCAGAATATGAATGCCATTTAATATCCATTCAAAACATGACACTAATCATTTAATGTGTAGATGACAAAGTGGAAGAAGGAGGAATATGGCAAGTTGTAAATGTTGATGAGTTGTAGGGGAAGAAAAAGGGCAATAGGTAAAGGAGATACATACAGAAAAAACACTTCTTTTCATTTTTATTTTTTTTTTTCAAATCAGATGATCTCTCTACCTTTCACTTAGACTAGAATCAGCTGTGAGCAATCCATCTCTCCCTAATTTCAGATGGAAACCAGTCCCTTCATCCATGAGCAGAACTTGGCATCATGGCATCATGTTGTAGCAATGTCACTTGTTCTGATACTCTGGCAGTAACACTGACTTCTGGAAGGATTATTCATTTTATAACTCTATTAAAGTCATACATGAGCTACCAGGTGTGTTAGGCTAGTATTTTATCTAGAAATTGTGTCCCAAGTACAAATACAGGCAATGTATTTTGGAAAATGCTGCTTTTCCTTTTAATGGCCTACTCATTTACCTGATTGACTAAAATCTGTTTCCATGCATAGAAATCCTTCAAGATAAATCCCAAAAATGCTGACAGTAGGCTACATTTAAGTGAATGATTGTCACTAAATCACTTCCAAACAATGACTTTGCATATGTATCAAAGGTTTTAATTGCCATTAAAACAATTCATAGAATCATAGCATGGTTTGGGTTGGAAGGGACCTTAAAGCCCATCCAGTCCCACCCCCCTGCCCCAGGCAGGGCCCCCTTCCCCCAGCCCAGGGTGCTCCCAGCCCCGTCCAACCTGGCCTTGAACCCTTCCAGGGAGGGGGCAGCCACAGCTGCTCTGGGCACCCTGGGCCAGTGTCTCACCACCCGCGCACACGGAAGAATTTCTTCCTTAGATCTTATCTAACCCTTCATCCCATCCCCACACCCCCTGACCCAGAGTCCCTCCCCACCTTTCCTGTCCCCCCTTTAAGCCCTGGGAGGCCGCTCTAAGGTCTCCCTGGAGCCTTCTCTTTTCCAGGCTGAACCCCCCCAACTCTCTCAGCCTGGTCTCAAGTTTTTGAAAATTTCTTCCTGTTTGATACTGCTGTGAAAGTGGGTAAAGAAAAGAAAGAGCAGGCTTAGAGCCTGTGGTAAATTCTATTCCTAAGGCATTTCTGCAAGGGAGAAATCTATTCAACCCTTGTGAAAGTAAAAAAAATGTCAACTTGGCCACAAATAAAACAGGTGTACATAATGAATATATATGTCAGCCTAGCAACTATGATGTAAACTGTGAATGTTCCTGAGGTCTGGCTAAATTTTTAAGAGTTTTCATAGAGCTCTGTGAAGAGTAATTGGACCTAGATATGAATATTTCACAAAATATAGGAATAATTTGCTTTCATTTTACTGTAAATGAAAATTGAAATAGTCCCATTGCAGTTAGGATGAGTATTTGTCTCCAGTAGTATGCTTGAAACTGCTGTGGGAATCATGAGAAATATATGAAAATAAAATCTCACCCTAGAAAAAACTACAGGACAATTTAGTATGCACGTGTACAGCACCTGTAAAGTTAGTCCATTTCCTTTTGTGCAGCAGTCTCCTCGTTCATCAGCAGCTAGTTTGGGGACTAATAACAGCATGACAGCTTGACTCTGTTCAATGTGTGTTTACCAGAACTCATTAATGGGCTCACACAGTGTAGACTGCACTTGAGTCAGCTCATATATCCTATTTTGTTTAAACATGATTTGTATCTACATAAACTTCAGTCATACCAATATATTGCAATTTAGATACACCATTACCTTCTTTTCTTTTTAGCCCCATCTTTTCTTCCTCTTTCTCTTTTCTAGCTTCCTTTTATTACCATGTTTAAAAATATGGAAAGCTTATATTCTCTTATGTTTTTACAGCAAAGCTTTAGGCCACAAGTGTTCTACTGTATATTTGCATTATTTTTGTGATTTCCTTAGGTTGCTCTATAGCAGAGAAGCAGCAATAAAATCAGGAAGTTGAGTAGAAAGGTGGAGAAGCCTAATGATCACAAAACCTAAGACTCTGTATCCAAAAATCACAATTTTTTTTTTTTATTATTCTTTTTCCTTTTTCTTCCACAGCATTCTGACTCCAACTGTAACCTGAAGAAGCGAGTAAACAGCATAACATCTCAGGCAGATCAGTCTTCAGAAGTCAGCATAATATCAAATAGTGCATCCCAGTGTCAACCACCATCTGTTCCTCCACCAGCCCCACAACCACCACCACCACCTATTGGAGGCACAAGTAAAATAGACCAGTACTCTAGGATCCTCTTTCCACTGGCATTTGCAGGATTCAACCTGGTATACTGGGTTGTTTATCTTTCAAAAGACACTATGGAAGTGAGTAGTAGAATTTCTGAATACTTGCTTAGAATATATAATATGTTTACTTGACCAATATTATTTTAATTGTTCATTTACTCCTGCAACTCAAGTTAACCAGTCCTTTCTGAGGAAAGTTACTGATAATAGATTTCTCTAAAAAATCAGCTGTGGCTTCCAGTAGTAGCTGCACTCAGTACAATGCAGAAAGGCTATTTGAAGATGAGAAATGTAAACATTTATCTCCATGCCATGTTGCACTGAGCAGAACACCTTGTGTAAGACAACGTATGACACCATTCTCAGCAAACAAACTAATCTTAAATCATCCATTTCTTAATCTTCCTATCTGCCGTAAGGAATGGTAGAATTATCTGTTGAAGCAATGCAGTGAAGGAGATAAGAACTTTAATATCTCCTAAGGTTTGCTCAGTGAGGTAATAACAGTCTCCCCCAAAAAATTTGTTATTCATTCTAAACATTTATCCATAGTGTGAAGAATTGACAACTGCAGTGTACAGTTTGTGAATCAGGAGTTCCTGTTTTTATACATTTTAACACTGTTTTTTCCTGTTTCTTCATACAGCTGAACTGTTTTATGCAGATAAAGCTGCTAAATTCTTTGCTTCAGTTTGTTTGAATCAGGAAGAGAGTGATCATGTCTTTAGATATCCGTGAGGTCCAGAAGAGATGTGTGTCCTGTAATCTGAGCATGTCTAGAATAATCAGTCAGTGACTAGTCATTAAACTTTAAGTCTTTAATTCTCTAATTTTTCCATTTTGGCTAAATACAGCTAATGCTGTCCCATTTCCTTGGTAAAAAATACATTAATTTGCCTCATTGCCATAGAGTTTTTGAATCTCACTGTAGATTGCAGTCAATATGATTGGTACATTTAGCTTTATTTAGGACAGCTAGAGAGATGATGATGGTATTTAGATAGTACTGAATGCAGAAAGTCTCTACATCAATAAAAACAGAGGCTGGCAATCTGGTATGAGTGGTGAGCAGATTGTACCTTTATTTCCTAGATTAGAGGTAAAGCAGGCCAAGGGAAATCTCATGGACAGCCAAGAGATGTTGCAGTGCAAAGTAACAAGACAGTGCTGATCAGCTGATTGGTGGCATCTTGCCTCTGCTTGAAGCAGAGGCTACTAGCCTCTAATTTTGCTGATTTTTCCTGCTAGTATGATGTGGAAAATGCTGTCTCTCAAAGGTGGAGTGTGCTGCCAAGTAGCTTATAGAAAATCAGGAGAGCAGGAAGATAGGAGGCACTATCTCTTACAAATGTTCCTGCAGATGTCTCTTTCAAGAGGTCACAGCTGCTAACTCCTGGCCACTCAAAATCTGCCCAGTGCTAAATTTAGCATTTGTGCCAGAGTTACTGATCCTGCTATTAAAATATTGACTATGTGTGCAAATTACTTATCTCAGTCAGAGAAGGAAAGTATTAAAAAAGCTCATGTATAAATATTACAGCTTCTGTTTAGAGGCCAGTTCCTCAGCTTGGGTAGCTTGCCAGAACTCCAGTGATTTCACTGAACCATTCACATTTTGGACCTAGTAATATTTGGAACATAGTTGCTGTTTCCCTTGGTAGTGATGAAATATTTACACCAAACCTTGTATATTAATAGTTGTATTAGGACTAGGCTTTTAAAATACTTCTGAAGTCTAGAACATCGTTCTGACTATACGTGTTTTTAAAATGCCACTTCTGGAAGCTCACAAACGTGCTCACAAACTCAGAAATTTTGCTCTGTAGTAGCCTTATAAAATGACAGAAATCTAGCAGCAAGAGTCAGAAAACAGAACAGTACTGACAGCTGGAGTGTTCTGAACTAGGAAGAGTGTAAACAGTTATGTAAAATGTTGATCAAGCTCATCTTCGTAAATTACATTTTCCTGTTTGAGTACTCAGTTGTAACTAATAACAACTGTGATAGACATTGCTAGGTTTCTAATTCAATATGTTTTATCACTTCACCAGTTGTTACTTTCAAGGAAAACCAGGATTGTTTTTGCTTTATAAATGTATTAAAAATATGTAAGCCTTTCCATTTGAGCAAAGGAGATACAGAAGTTAGGTGAGCAAAGCACAGCATACTTCAAGGCCAGTTCAACTCACTTACAGGCTCACACACCTGTAAGATTAACTATTGGTACAGTATTATTCAGTTAAGACATTTAATTTAGAAAGCGCCTTCTGTGCAGTATTTCAGGTATATTAGCTTTTCTTTTTTGAGTTACTTCTTTGAGTTAATTTGGCTTTTGTTTAAAAAACAAAATGGAAAAAAAAAATAATCAGTTCCTTGAAATAACCAGATTTCCTGTGCAGAAGTTTGTGCAGTGCAGGACTTGTAGGATTTTGATTAGTGTAGTTTGGAGTGCAGAACATAATTCACCAAGGCTGTCATTGTGAAAACTCCTAAACCGGACAGCTACCTACTCTTTGGATGGAGCATATAGAATAAATCAAGAAGCATTTCATAAATCTGTTTGTAAAAGCAGGCTATTAACACTGGAATCAAAGGTAATTTTAAATTCATATTACTATCTTGTAGCCAGACTCTTCCTTTGACCTTGGAGGAAGTACAAGAATCGTTTTTTACTTCATGTTCTGGATTCAGAGCATCAACTAGAATAAGCAGTCTTGTTAATGCAATGACAGAGTTGCATGAAATGAAGAGCTCTCTCCTAAGCTGTTTGGTAGTATTTCTGTGCATTACTAAGCAGTTTTCTTATGGCTTAAGTAATAGACCATATGTTACAGAAATGAAGTCATTTGTGTGTATTATATCTGATAATATTTATAAGAACCTTGGGGCTTGAGTACTTTTGAAAGTGCTCCTTGGAGTACTTTTTTCTTCCCTCTTCATTTAATCATTTTCTTTTTGCAAGACTTCAGGTTAATCACCCTTTCTCTTACTATACATGTAAACTCAGAGTATGTTAATTACACAGAATTTTTAGGACTTGGAAATCTGTATAATGAAGAAGGTGTTTCTAATAAAATGTATGCCTTTAAATATTTTAATATTATTTTTTCACGGCAGCCAGGATTGGGCAGATAGCAAAAGTATGTTAGACTGAACTCTGTATTTGTACTTCCATATATACTGAATAAAGTCCAGCTCTGCAAACCAGGAAATGCAGTAGCAAAGTTCCAGTGTAAAATTAATCTTTTGTTACATTTTAAAGCAAAATAGCTGCATTCTCTGAGTGAAAAAATTAAAAAAATTTACCAAGTTGAAGTTAAGTGCTTCAACTGAATGTTTGTTATATGTGGATGGGGATAGAGTTATCCTCTGGACTTAATATTTAAATAAATTGTTCTATTCTTCATTGGAATAAGTGGGAAAACATTGTTATTCGGTAGAAGTCATCCACCATACAGCCTGACACATAAAAAACATTTTGGTGTAAACTGTTTTGCATTGTAGAGTAGCAACAGCATCGCAGGACAACAGTTATATTGGTAAAAGCATAGAAAGGAAGCTAAGAGTTCTATGCCTGCATTTTGCTAGACAGCATGTTGTTAGAACCTAATATAACCAAAGGACAACATAATGGTAGAAAAAAAGTGGTACTTGAAAATATGTATATGGAGGAATCCCCAACTGGGATAACAGATGCCAGTTTTTAGACCACAGAAAATGCTGATACATGTATGATAAGCCCCACTTTCTCTCAAAAGATTTTATAACTGTAATGCTGACAGATGCTTAACTAAAGCAATATCACTGTGCCATTTGTAATATGAAAAAAATAAAGCATTAAAGTTACCCTAAGAGGACTTACTCCCTCACTAAGTGAGTCTGTAATTAATTTAGATGGAAGATTTGAAGATGTGACATCCCCATGATTTATGCATGCAAAATGGAACAGACATGATGCATGTTATTCTGTAGATTACAGTAATATTGGCCATCCACAATGAACTTTATACAGTGACAAACAATACACATTTATCTAGTTTAAAAAAAGAGTTCTTGAAAGGAGAACAAGCCTATCTGACAAATGAGAAAAAGTTGTTCTAGCTTTTTATTTTGTCATGAAACATTTTTTGGCTTTGTTTTTGGCTTTAAATCTTTGTAAGTCCTTTAGCTGAATACTGATTTATGACAGTGACCTTGGTAGTTCAATTGCGTGCTTAATTTATTTTAAAATTTGCTTGATTTAGAATGCAGAGTGCCCTTTTAATGAGAAGAATACAAGTACTTAGTCTACCTTTGCTGTATCATTCACAATGCATATGCTGTTACCACATCTTCTTACACATCTTGTTTCTAAAGTAACCTGTCTTAATTTTTATATGTAACATTGTATTACAGTTTTTAATGTAATGAAACATGGAACGATGTTGTAAATCAAACTAAAGAATGATATAATGTTAGCGTTTTGATGATAAACTGCAGAAAAACAAGCTGAGGCCAGCTTTTATGTTTGGGAGCCGAGAAAGGTACAAAGTCACTGAATGTGCTAAATGTGCTGAGTTCTGGATATTATTTGGACACATAGAACGTAGTATGATAGCAGCAAAAGAGTTACATAGCAGGTTGAAGGAGAAGGTGAGGTGCTAATGATGTCAAGTAGGAAGAAACAAAAACAGAGAAAGGAGGAACTGGAAAAGTATTTAGCTTCAGTATGTTAATATCCATAAAACTTGCAGTGCGTATTGTTGTTACATCATGTATCAGTTTAAACACTGGAAAAAATAAAGTTCAGGAGAAAACAGTCATTGCCGTACATACTTACAGCTGAGCTTTGATGATCCAGGTAATGAACGTCAAATTCTAAGAGGGTTCTCCCTTGTAATGCAGTTCTATTTTAAGTCTGCTGAGACAGAAATCAGGTGGTTTAGTTGATTAACTTCATTGTTAACAGTCCATAGCTTAATTTTCTGTCTAAACTTTTTTTCCAGCTTTTTGAACCTACTGCAGTGCATCTTCGAAATGACCATCAGTCCAACTGAAGAACAGCTCAAGGTTTCAATGAAATCACTGAAGGTCATGTAGGGTTGAAGAGACTTCAAATGATTTTTCTATCCACGGGTGCTCTCAGTTTTAAAACAGGGAGTATTTATATTGGACATCACCTGGAAACAAACTCTGGACAAATCAAAAAGATAGAAACTGCACCAGGGTTCTGACAATACTTTCTTAAGATTTCTTACAATGATTCTACTATAGAAGTTCTTGTTAAATTATTTTGTTCAATTGTCAAAGAAGATAATGTGCATTTGTTCTAATTCTCTTATAACCAATTGAATGTTTACATTGATATAAAACGTCAATAACAGGGTTATTTTTTAAAAATACAAAAAGGATTGCTAAAATAAGCCTGATTCTGAACTGGTATAACTTGGCATGCTTTCACTGAAAGGTTAGGAGCTGCACTGATTTGCAACACTTGAAATTGACCCAAACCAACGTTAAGAAATCCTGTGAAAGGGAGTTGCAATCCTGTCATGTTTTCGTAACCCTTTCATAGAAAAGATGAGTGATGAATTCTGATTTCTTTAATTTCGTTTTCATCTCTTTGAGATACCATTTATAAAGAACAAGGTAAAGAAAAAAGGAAGTAGAAACTACTGTTTATGTACTTTAGCTGGTTAGTTACGATAGCGTAACTATTTTTGTTGAGCATGACCATGGAAGTACAACCAGACTAATAACAAGCAATTTCTCAGCAGAATCTAGAATTGCAGGACTTAGATGTCAGGGAGTTTTCAAGGTCTAAAAATTAATAGAAAGATGAAGCTACCCATCAAGTTAAATGCAAACCTCCAGCTCTAAGGGACTTCCTGGAAGCAAGTCTTGATAGCTGGTGAGGGAACAAGCTGCATTTTGTCAGCTGATTTGAGTGAACTGCACGTACCAAATTCCCAAGAACTTTTTTCCAGAGGCAAAGTACTGTCAGAATATTCTGAGGTTAAAGGCAATAATATTTTGATTTATTTGTCACTCTCAACAGTCACAGGATTTCTTCCTCATATTTCATAGTAATCTATTATTTTATTATATATACATTCTTCATCTCTGTAATTCTTCTTAAGAACGTAATTAGGAAAGATATACCTGATCAAACCCAAGCCAGGTATATGCAGAGTTGCAGGGGTTGCAGGGGTAATGGACACTGGTGGGAGTCAAAAGCACACAACAAAGTTTTACATGCAGCCAAATGAAAACTAAGGACTCCTATCTTGAAATTACATTAGTTTGAAATTATTTACATTAAATGAAATTATTTTTAACACTAACATGAAATGCTATGTTGATTCAGGAAATTCAGGGTCTTTTGCTTTGTCTAAAGAAACAGTCACAGTGAGAAAATATTTAGGGGCTGACTAATTGACTCCAGTAAGTTGTCAGCTGCTTTACTGGCACTATAACAGTTTTAACTGTCTGATGACCTAGCTTCAGTTGTTTTCCTCCTCCTATTTCAAGAGTATATTGCTTTTACTAGTGTGGTTGCTGGACTGAACGTGTGAGATCACTTTTTGTACTCCCTGTTCTTTAACTCTGAAGAGCTCAGATGGAGACAATTTAAGTAGATTCAAGTCAATAATAACTATTGTTTGCACAGAAATGTCATGTTTGCCGTTTGCTTTTCCTGACTGGCTGCAGGCTGGCACACTTGGATGTATTGTAAGTACAATGAATTCTTTCTTCATTTTGTTTTGAAACTAAAATTGTGACAATTTTTCCTGTTTTCAGCCTTTATATACTATTTTTTTTTAAAGTCAAAATATGGACACTGGGCAAGTATTTTATAATTTGTAAATACATCTTACTTAGCAAAAAGCAAATTGTGCTGTAGGGATATAAAGGTTATTTTTCAGTATAACTATACTCATTCTTGCTTCACTGACTGATTTTCTATTTTGAGTACATTAGTATCTATAGAATTTTCAGAGTACTTTAAAATTGGTTTATACACAAAATGAAAATGTTTAAAAGCTATGGAAAAACAAGTAACACTGAATAAGCTAAACTTTGTATCTGATCTTTGTTTAAAAGAAATCTAAATATTAATTTTATAGCAGATGCAGAGTTACTAAATGGTCAGTATTTCCTTAGAGTGTAGTATTTCAGTGTATAAAATAGTGGTAACTTCCTGATTAGAAAGCTATATCAAGCACCTTAACAATGTACTAGCAGCTCTTTATATTTAACAGCATATTTTAACATGACCATGAAGCCTGCTTATCTTTTTTTAGAGAAGTTTTTCATAAGGAAAAGAGAGAAGTGTTGGTTCTCCACATCTGTTTGAATGGTAGGAAGGGAATATGTATTTTGTCCTATTACCTGCTTTGTACAGACACGGATGTAATCAGTAATAATGTTAATAATATCAAGTTATACCTTAGAATAAATATAATTACTTACAATTAATATAAGGTCTTAACAGTCCTGGGTATGGTCAAACAGTAACCAAACAAGCAATACAGTAAAAAGAACAGATAAATAGAAAAGGTTTCTTTATATATATATTTATGTATGCATAGATACATATGAATCTCTTTAAAACATATAAATAATATATATTTCTGTATTTAATACAAATTTAAGGGAAATTAGGGGATATGGGTTTCTTCTAGTACTTCTGAATATATTGCAATAGGAAGAGCAGGAACTAAAGTTGCTGTAGGATGCAAATTTGTATGTTCAAAACAGGACACTGCCGGGTAGAAGATGGGCAGTTACCTTGAGCTATCACACTCTGGTAATACATTATTCAACACTGACCTAACTTCTGTATATCCTGGTAGAAAGGGTGCTCTGGTTTTAGCCCACAAGCCCCTCAAAGGGACAGAGCGTAGCTTAAATTCATCTTTAGTGTGTTCTGCTTGATCAGAAGTGTAAGAAATAGAACTAAGAACACAATTGCAGAATTATGTCATTGTACAGTAGAAACCTCAGTTACATATTAGTCTTTAAATTACTTATTAGTCTTCAACATTATTAAACTAGGTTTTTCTACCCCCCTACATTATTTTTCATAATTTCAAAATCAAATAAAAATCAAGCAGTTTTAAGATACAGAAACTATGCAGTAGCACACTAGATCAGCCCTGAGATCATCCACTACTGTGTTCAAAGGATAGTCCTCACCAGAAGTTAAAACAAGAGTTGGATAAACCCGGGAAGTGTGAAGATCAAAGTCCTCAACACACTTCCGATATAGTATACTGTCCAGTGTTTTGATGTTTTGTTACATCCCGTCATGTTACTAACTCAAGGCCTTTCTCTTATATATATGCAAACAAAATTCAGAGGTGACTTTGTCATTGCATAGTTCATTACATTCTTCTTTGTCTTCCAGTTCATGACACGAGCAGCATTCCTCATCTGCCTTCTTTATAGAAGTCATTCTTGCAGGATTTTCCTCTAATAAGTAAGCAATCAAAGCCTTTGAACTCTCCATGGAAATGCTGTCCATCACCTGGCTTTACGGAGAAAGCTGTGAAGAAAGAAGTCCTATCCACAAATACAATGGGTAGAGACTTGGGGAGTAAACTATACTGTTCTGCATCACTACTTCAACAAAATCATCACTCAGCCATGGCTGGAGTGGTGCTTGCGTACAAAGAATAAAGATCCACAGTTCATTTCCAGACAGCAGTTTGATGCAAGTGATAGTAGTTGAGTGCCAGCAAAGTATATTGGAAGCACAAGTTGGTGAAAAAGCATGGGCGGGACTCGGCGATGCTTTCTGAGATGCAAGTCTTAAAACAGAAAGTTTGACCAAGAGAAACTAGGGAATCCAAAGAAACCAAAAGCATCCACACAATTGTAAAGTAGGAAACATAATTCCACGCATCTTAAGAGTTCTTTTCAAAACAAAACAAAACAAAACAAGCTATTCTTAATACTGTCCAAAACCAAAATATATGTGATCTTTCAAACAGAGATGAGGAAAAAACCCTAACTCATGTATTTAATGTGGTTATATAAAAGTAAGACAACAAATCATTGCAGAACTTCATAAAACATGTAACGTGCATTTTTGCTAAATCACTTTGCAATACATTTGGGTTGTTATCAAAGGGGTCATTAGTTCATGAAAACATGATGTGACCTCGATTATGACCAGACTCTTTTCTACTCCATAAATAAGAGTAATACCTAATAGTTTTAAGGTACTGAATTATTTACATTCCTTAAGGAGCAAATAAGCCTTCTCTAAGCTATATATAGTTACATATTCAAGCACTACTGCAAAGGTTTTTCTCCCCACCTCACACCTGCTTTGTTTATAATAAGATTTTCATAGAACAGATAGAAATATTTTGTAATTTAAAACTAAATAAAACTAACAAAACTTTTTACTGGAATGCTTATATCTTCTACTCCTGTACATTAAAAAAGCTTCATTACTGTAACAATGTCTACTTTACCTTGGTTAAAGTTAGGAAATATCAACTGTTAGAAGCTGACTTCTAAGGTCTGTAAACATAGTGTGATGATTTAAACTTAATGGAGACATGGTGTTCCCAATGGAAATGTGGGGAGTAGTTATGAAATTTAGAAGTGGGTTCTACACCAAAGAAGTCACAGGTTCTATCTGCATGTGAAACAAATCGTAGTAAAAGACAAATATTAAAGCTCAATCTGTCTGCTTTCATCCTCTTTGTGTCTACCAAGTGATCCGACTCAACTATAAGTCAGTGCATAACATTTGCAATCTCATCAGGAAATTATATTAAAGAATAGTTGGCTCCATAGATGAGTCTGTGGTAAAGACTGGGTTGTGATGATGAGACAGACTGGAAATAATCAGCAATAGATTAGTTCTTTATCCAAAGATTTGACTTTCACTGGATTGAACTTACTTTAAAAGGCAGAAATATCTTTGTATGAACAAAAAGATGGGTTTGTGTCGATAAATGTAATCAATGTGCATTCTCACGTTTAAGTTATGGTCCTTACAGGCTAAAACTTGGTATACTTCTGCCGATCCCATTGTGTCCTTCCCATTTTAGATGAGTAAAAGCTGCTGTTTTCTTTCTGATCCAGCCTCCACATAAAAACCAACATTAATTGCTTAGTATGAGATATCTGCTTACAAATCAAATTATTTAAAAGTAAAAAAGTTTTCTTTTTAAGCTTCATCAGTTTTAAATTTTACCCAAGTACACTTTATTTTGACACACTCTTCAACCTTCTCACTTGCTTTTCTTACAGATTTTTGTGAGCCAAATAAATCTACTTGGACATGGCCCTTTTAGAACAAAGCAGTAAACTATCTGAATAACTAAAGTTTATAAGGTGTTACTGAGTTATGCCAGATCAGCTACACAGCCCTGAAGGAGTAGCTGAATAAATATTAATAAAGAGTAGTTTTACTATTATGAATACATACATGGAAAACCCAAAGTGCAGCCCCTGAATTACCTATAGATCTATTGAATTGATTCCTGCACTACATGCTGCCAAGAACAGGGTTTCTCTCTTGTTGAGTAATTTAATTCAATATTATTACAACAGTAAAGATTAACAAAAAAAAAAAAAAAAAAAAGCATTAAATCTCTCAATGTGAGCAAAAGCTTGTGAGCAGAGTGGTATGTGATTGGTGTATGGTGTTTTCCACGATTGAAAGAGATTCCACGAATGGCATCCAGGGCTCAAAACATGGACTGAGGGCAAGAAATTACCTTATCTTCATACCTGTAAAATGCAGACCTGACATGGAGAATCAGTACATTTAATGTTACCTTTGGATTTTTCAGAGTTTTATTTCATTTAGCTACATTTATAGGCAGGTTTTGTTTTAAGGAATAAATTGATGAATCAGTCACAGGCAGAGTAAGATTGAATATGGTCTCTGGAAATAGTTCAAACAAAACACTTCACAGTGCAGAAACCATAGAAATCCTGTTTTCATATTATTACTTCCAGTTTAAGAAATAAAGTACATCACCTGTTTAATTTTGGATTTGAAATTATTTGGACGTTTATACTTCATCTGTCTCACCCCTGAAAAGTCCTTTTCTGGCTAGGTGGACAGAGCCTTTGCTGACAGAAGTCAGTGTACAGGTCTGACAGCTGGAGTCAGATTTCATGATTTTAATAGGAACTAAAAGTTTTTTCTGGTGAATTTTTAAGTCAATGTGATGAATCAGTACATTTCACCCTTACTACTTTAAGGGCATTATTCTGATGTTGCTTCAAACAGAATAGAAGTGGAGTAATTCTACTGAAGCAGAATTGAATAAGACCAAAGTGAAAGGATATAACTGAGGCTAACTGGTGCCATATTTAAGAAGCTGTTTTAAATACCAGGTTTTAAGCCTATGTGATAGCTCCTCTGTAACAGCAGTATATTACTTACATTTAATATGGACCTATTACAAAAAATTGCATAAATCCATTTACCATTGATTGAGATGTCTTTAAAAGACCAGCAAGTAGAGTGTCTACAACTTTGAGTCATTACATAAATTAAGGCAAATGTATCGTTAAATGCTATACTTAGAAATGCCTATTATAGTACTTTTTTTGAAGAATGGAAACAAAAAGCAAACCATCCTTTATGTGCCCTGTGAAGGCAACATGAGGAGATTATAACAGTGAATAAGGGACAAAACCCTCAGGGGGGCAGGAACTTAGATGCCAGAAAGACCACAGATGTCTTTACAAGAAGCTCTATGTACGGTGTACTTTGTACGTCTATTCTGCAGGCTTAAAAAAATTCTGTATCAGAAAACCATTTTCTGTGTTTGAGATCTCTTCATTAACAGCTCTTTACAGAGCAGTCACAGGAGTATTATTGTATGTTTGAAATAAAACCACTGGGTAAATGTGCTCTATTCAGGACCAATAAGCATCAAACAAAGCTAAGTGAATTTTAAACTCTAATTCCAGCTGTACTAGAAGTTAAGATCCACATGAATCCAACACCCTACCTTTATTTTAAGAATGGAAGTTAATTTATTCATCACTCACAGGGTACCATTTCATTGGGGGCTGACTAAGTTTTCATGACTTACAAGTGAGCACCTTAATGTTCTGAAATCACCAGGAGAGTATTAATGTCAGTGATGTGCAAACTAACGCTTTTTATGTCTACAAGTTTCTTTTAAAGGTGCAGCAATCTCAAATCATCTCCCATGACACCCTCACAAAGAAAAAACAATTCCTGAAGACACTAAATTGAAAAAAGTAATTGGAATCTGCTCTGATTTTAGTACTAAAAGGAGAAGGCAAAACTGGATTTTGTTACTTACATATTTCTGCAAGGGAGAGTTTGGTCATTAAGATTATACAAATAAATGTCATTTGTAATGGTTTCTGGGAAAGCATGCTGACAATAACAGAAAAATTAAGACCCACATTCACCATCTGAGCCATATTCCTTACTGGCCACACTACTCACATTGCCTTAAAGACTGGAGAGATGGTAAAAGTTTTGGCATGATTACAGAGAAAATATGGATCAAAGAGCAATTTTTTTTATGAAGTTGAAGGACAGTGGGCCTTCTAGTTCATTCAGATCACTGGAACAGCAAAAATGGAATAACACTTGGACTTGAGTGCAATCTGAACACTTGCTGTTAAATGTACTTTAGCTGACATCTCATGGTTCGTGAAAGCCAAAATGGCACATGAAAATTAGCATCAACAAAATAGGTAAGCAGACATCATTCAAGTCAGAACAACTCCGCTTTACACTGTTTTCAGGGGAAAAAAAAAGTTTCGCTCAAGAGACTAAAAAATTTCATCAGAAATTGTCAGGGAACGGTTCTCCTCTGTCAGTTCTCATATTTTTCTGCATACATTTCTAGATAGTTAAATAAAAACTCGATAGGTTAGGTCAATATATGGCCACCAGTAGTGATACCCCTGATGTATCGTCCTCACTTAAGCTATTATTAATACCAATACTTTCCTTAGATGGAACACGGGTTCTTCTGTCTTGGAGAAATTCTGAGTAAGATTTTTACTTCTGTGAAGTGCAGCATGTCCCATGCCAAGGCTCAGTTTGCATCTGTATGAAGGGACTGCACAAAGGCTGCTGGACGGATTCTCCAGTAGGAGAAAAAAAAGGGCTGTGGATCTGTCGTGGTTTAGGCCTGATTGGCAGCCAACCACAATGCAGCAGCTCTCTCTCCCTTCCCCTCCAGCAATGAGAAGGGACAGAGAGCCAGGCTTGGGGTTTGAGATAGGACTGGGATGGGGAAAAATTTCCCCTTTATGATCATGAGCAAGAGGCAGACTCATTAGGGGAAGGAAAAAAAACATACATTTATTACAGACACTAACAACCCATAACAGAGTAGGACAGTGAGAAGCATTGCCACATCTTGAGAACACCTTCCCCCCACCCCTCCCTTCTTCCCAGGCTCAGTTCTGCTCCCGATATCTCTACCTCCTCCCCCAGGGGCGCAGGGGCAGGGAATGGGGGGTGCAGTCAGCGCTGCCAATTCCTTCATCTTCGGTGAGGGGAGTGTCCGGAACTTGTTCTCCCTGCTCCATCGTGGTCCCCTTCTCACAGGAGACAGTACTCCACAAACTTTCTCCAACTTGAATTCCTCCCATGGGCCGCAGCGTTCCCCACACTGCTCCATCATGGGTCACTAACTTCCTCCAACTGGATTCCCTCCCACGGCTGCAGCCCTTCCCGAGCTGCTCTGGCGTGGGACTCCCCCGCATGCTGCAATCCTCCCAGCACTGAATTACAGCAGCGGGGCTACCTTTTCCCAGGAGACCCCGGCCTTCTTCGGGTACCGAACCTTGATCAGGCGAGCAGGAGCAACAGGCCATAAATCAGTGTCTGCTCCACTGTAGATCTTCATGGGTGGCAGGGGGGGGCCGCCCTGCCGTCTCACCACAGGATACAGGGGGGTCTCTGCTCCAGCACACCCCCCCCCCCTCCTTTCTTCCTCCCTTCCTCCACTGACTTTGGTGTTCATGCAGCTGCAGCAACTCCTCCTCACAAGTCCCACTGCCCGTCACCACGTCCCTTCTTAAATACGTTATCGCAGAGGCGCAGCCGATTGGCTCAATTTCCCAAACAGAAGTGGAGCTGACGTGGATCTGGGGGAGCTTCGAGAAGCTTCTCACAGGGGGCCGCCCCGATAGCCCCCTCCCCTGCCACCAAAAAACTCCACCACTCACTCAACCCAGGACAGGATCAGACTCAGCAAAAGTGGTTCTTGCACTGGGAGGCTTAAATGTAGAACTAGACAGAAAAATGATCCTGCCTTCCCTCCCTGCGAGATTTTGATCATCATAGATCAAAACAGAGCATTAGTATAAGTTATTTTCTGATTATATTAAAATCAAAACATTAGTTTTTCAAATCATCTTTTTTCTTCATTTTAAT